CTCTCGACGTCTGCAAACAGCCAATCACAGATGCCGCAACGTTGGTTCTTAGCACGGCGACGCATAGAAAGCCTGCACGCGTGAACGCTCTCTCTGGACCGCGGGGATTCCTGCTACTATGCCGCACTTCGGTTCACGCCGCCCCAGCGGAAGATCGTGCTCTCCGTCGTCAGTCTTCTTCCCTATTATGCTTCGTTCCTCTGTGTAGACAATATACTGTTCCTACTACTCTGGCCTTCCCAAGACATCTTCTCTACTAAGTAACCACGGTCTGAAGATCGCAATTGCTAGGTTTTAACTTACCTATCCCCCTTCGATACGCCTGCCAGCTTCGGACAGTCTAGCACGCCTGTCAGGCACTGTGTACGCTACGAGATTACTGGTGAAACACTGTTTTTGAAAGACCTAAGGCTGTTGCCTGCTATTGTCTCTGGTGATGGATCCACAATAGAATCCGAAACTTCAGGCGAGTAAATTTCTTGTCCCAGTGATGGCGCTTGCTTCTTCTCAGAATTAAGGTTTGCCTGGCTGACGCCATCCTGACTGGGCATCCCGCTACTAAAACGCCTCTATCAAAGTCTATGTACGCTTCGACCATAGCCATAGACACAGTTTCTCCACAATGTTTCTGGTTTCTTTCCGCTATTGGACTTTTTCCAAGAAACTCTGTCCGACTAGGACGCGCTAGAGTACCTCTGACCGTGAAGCATCTCCGACGTTTCTCGTAACTTTACCATTTTTACAGACCATAAGACGACAACGTTTGCCCTTCGGTGTCATTGTGACAAGTATAATACGAGGTAGACTGTCAAACAGTAATACATATCATGATTAGTCACTGACACCCGTCACATCGATGGCACAAAGGATGAGGTCACTGACATGTTGTCCAGACCTTTCCTGTCGGCAATTCAACTCCCACCTGGGGTCAATTTTACTGCCATGGCGGCTGTACAATGATGAGACCTTTAATAGTCTTCAGTTTGTGGATTTTGCCTGACCTCCGATGCCGATATCGAATTCGAGTTCACGGGCAGGCACCGTTAATAAGACGGGGCGAGGACTACTGGAGGCCTGGGTGTCAGACTCCAACTCCATCAGAAAAACCTGTGGATATACCGCCTGTTACTTTGCCCTCCGTGCTCGCGCCCAAGAAACACAGCCCAGTTTCTGTCCAGGCAGGCACGCTGTCACGCCAAGGACGCAAGACACGGTGCCAAAGTCGCGCGCTACAACATCAAGGACGCGCGTAGATAGCGTGAGCATGTACCAATCACAAATGCCGCCCGCTCCCCCACTCCTCCTTTAATCGTAGCTAGACTACAAAAGCATACCCACGCTTGGTGCTTTCTCATTTCCTCTGACGATGGCCTCTGGTATAAAACCGAAAGCTCTGAATAATACAATTGCCGTTCATCTTCTTTATAGATTAGGATCACCTCATAATCTCGCTGGCGATGTAGTGTCATGGATCGAATTTGAGACATTAAGTGTATTCACGCAAATGCTCGCATCCCAGGAGTATGCAAAGTAAATTGTCTATTTAATGAAATGTCGGCCGAAATTTTGAAAATTGCTTTCGATTCGAACATATTGATTAAGAATGATTGCAATATTGATTGGCGTGGGACTTAATTTCAATGTATTTTAGTCAACACAGGATACCGGCTTTTGAACGAGCCTCCTTTTGACCACTAGCGAGAAGTACGTTCTGCAAAAAAAACTACTTAAGTCGTACGCTTTTTTCGTTGTATCTTCAAGGTTCAAGTAAATTAAAATTAAAATATTCATTTCTATGCTCGTTTAGTAACAAATTATGCCTTCTTCAAGTTGGATACTTGAAGAAGGGGTATCTTTCAGTTTGTAAAAGTTACCGAAAAGAGCGCGAGTACAAACCTCGAGTAGTGCATCAACTAATGGGATTCTTTGGACTTCTCAGTCAGCCTGGAGTGTGTTTGTGTGGAGTGGTTGACTGTATGCATATGCAGTGCCAGACTTCGACAAACCACTGTCCCTGCGGCCTGGTACGCGCAGCTAGGTTCTCTCGGTTCTGATTCCCTGTCGGTTTATGTATTCGCGCTCCCACCGGGTTTCAGGCCCCACCTCAGGTGTCCGAGCAACTAGGCGGCCGCTCGG